CCTCTTCATGAGTTAGACATATTCTCACCAAAGCCAAGACAGCATTGCAGCTGAACGGCGATCCCTCTACAATTTTCGATGGCCAAGAAAGTGTTTCTCTACGTCTCCTCCGAACCAGGTTGTTGACATCTTCATGAAAAGTATTTCTCAACCTCTCTTTGAATTTTTCAGATCCAAGTGTGGTGGATTAATCGAACATTCTTACGATTCAATGAATAGAATTAAAAACTAAAACTAAAAGGGAGAGAAAAGAAAATAAAGACAAAGATTTGGTGAAAAAAAAGCTATAATATAAAACAATTAAAAATTAAAATTAAATATAAAAAAAATGGAGATTTAAGTGAAAAGAGCCCCACATAAAACAAAAGAATTAAAAACTAAAATTAAAAATGGGGAGAATAGAAAATAACACGGGGAGAAAAGAAAATACAGCAAGACCAATAGAAAAAAAGAGGGAAGATTCAATAAATAGAATTTAAAACTAAATATAAAAAGAAAAATGGAGATAGGTGAAAAGAATTAAACCATCCAACAAAAAAGATACGAGAGGACCAGAAAGTACGTAATAATGTAACATAAAATAACTCTATTAATTTCTTTTATATATCAGTAACTTCCATATATATATATATAAATATAATATAATATAAAATACTCCCGAACTTTTATTCATGTAAATATTCTAATGTTCACATGAAATCTAACATAATCATTATAAATTAAAGGAATAATTTTGCAAAAGTTCGAATTTAAAACTGATATCATGGGCTCACATAGGTTGACTTGGATTTCAGATGATAGAATCAAACTTTAAATTAGTGACAACAACTTAAGCTAATCAGGTAAGTGGCCTTACTATCGACATGATTAAATTTGATGCTGACACGTGCCCTGTGGTTTTGCATGTGTCATAAACTTGATATGTGTGAATTGTTTATGAATTGATATGACTATGTATATGTTATGATACGTGAATGATATGATAACTCTTACATCATCATGTGTTCAATGATATGTGTGAGATAGGATACGAGAAGGATGCGATAAACGTAATGGAACGATATGACTCGGATTATAAATAAAACGATATGGTTAGGATGCGTTCCTATAACGGTAAGACTATGATACATTCATGAAACAACGTGAACTAAGATATGCATATGGAAATGATATGACTAGCATAAAATACAATCTCGACGTATGCATGAGAGTATGGTAAACGATATGAGAAATGATATAAAAAACAATATGATATGTTCGCTAGCGGGATTGTAGTAAACAATAATAAAAATGAAAAAAATGTTGTGACCTTGTACCCCTAAGGGTGTTAGGCACCTAAGACCTAAGAGCTACTAGAGAATGCTCGCCCTATAAGAAAAGGAGTAATAGGTCAACTATGAGTCATATAATGTTGTTGACAATAATACAGAGGGAGTCGAACTCAAAACCTTCTAATCCGAAGTTAGACGCACTAATCCACTACACTATGTAGTCATTTTTTAAAGTGTATGCATATAAATTAATATAAATATATATTTTTATACTTTTATGTTTGAATTCCTACTTATCATACCGTGATGGAAAGTATTGGGACCTGATGCATAATTATGTGTTCATGTGTATCGAGATATTGTCCCATTATTATGAGCACTGATATGGAAATCAACCAATATAAATATATATTTTTATACTTTTATGTTTGAATTCCTACTTATCGTACCGTGATGGAAAGTATTGGGACCTGATGCATAATTATGTGTTCATGTGTATCGAGATATTGTCCCATTATTATAAGCACTGATATGGAAATCAACCCAAGGGAAAGTATGGAACGAATTACCTTGGTGATCAAGATCAAAAGTAAAGAAAACAAGTTTCTAAACTCGTGATTCGAATCACTCCACAAGAGGTTTGATCAATACCACTTGAATGACTCTATCATGCAAGTTCTAAACACAAGAATTTGTAAAGAAAATTTAGCTCTCAACAAAGCTAAAATAGAAATTCTATTCTTAATTCCAAAATCTGATGTCTAATCAAAGAAAAGAAGGTTTTACATAGCCTTTACAACAACCTTAACTTATGTGATGCATAACTCCCAAATTAAATGGGCTAGTAAATGAGAAATACCCATAACCTCCATATTAAAATGGCTAGTTAAGGGTGGAATATAGTAACTATGTGAGTTACAATATAACCTTTAACTCCTATATTTAAAACTAGCTTAAATATGACAAACAAATAGTTAAACTATAATTAAATAATGCATTAATAAAATGTGCTTATTAGTCTTCCTTGGACTAGTTTCATAAATTCAGCGGAGTTCATTAAATGCAATTTAAAGTGCATTTAATTCATCTCTTTTTTGAAGCTCAACTTTGCATAACATACAAGGGAGGTCTCCAGCGTCTTCTAAAATTTTCTTTGATGAGCTCACCATAGCTTGAATATAACTGTATAAGGTTTGTTGTAGCTTCTTGTCTCTCGTCCTTGTAGTTGGACCTTGAGGTATAGAAATTCCTTGGTTGTGGTTCATATTATCACGGACGCATACTTCATGAGACTGATTGTGATCATCTTGTTCGCCATAATGCTACAACAATCGCTATTCCCTACGGGTGTCCAGCAACAACTCTAAGCAAGTGCTAGCTAGACCAGTAGGCCTAGGGAGCGTGCGAGCCTGCCTAGTGGGCCCACGTTCGTAGGTGTGGGCCATGTGTAGAGAAGTATTACACATCTAATTTAGCTCGAAATAGAAAGCCTTCAAGAGAATGAAATGAACTCTTGTACAGTTGATGACTACATTTCATGTGACTTCATTTCATAATGCCAATAGTCGGGCCACTTATTGAGTACAGGGGTTCCTACACACGGCCCACACGTCACATTAAAGACCATGGAACTTGTGTTACAATAAGTTGCATTTTATTTATTTTGTAGTCCTTAAGTTAGATGAGGATATTAGTTTATTCTTTTTTTGTTTTATATAAATTTCACGTGGTTTATTTTTTGTTATTTTTTTTAAGGTTTAATTGTGAATGTTTAAGTCCATGACATCGTGTTATGAATTATTTAAATGAATTTTTCACACAAAAAAGGTCATGTCATGCATACCGTAGCCACTCTATTTTAGTAGAAAACAAATGTTATTGTTGAGTGTTCTATTATTGACTGGTCATTTGTCTATCATGAGTAATTATGGGTTGACTATAGATCATGTCACTTAGAGGATGTGGAAGAGGACGTACAGAAAAAAGATGACCCCTGTTAAAGGATGAGGTAGAGGGAGTCCACCTCAAGCGACGCACCGACTACTGGAATGGACCCCATGACGACCCTGATGTGCGAATCATTCTAGGATGTGATGCAAACGATGGTGACCACCCAACAGACCAACAGTATGCAGTCCATGCGAGAAGCGAGGTATGCGAGATTTCAAGCAGTAGATTCTCACACATTTAATGGTGCTTTAGGTGACCCAACAAAGGTACAATTGTGAAAATCGTCTATTGAGACAATTCCTATTAATGATGTAATATCAAAAAAAAAAATCATAAACAAATAAACAAATAAAAATAAATATAAAATAAGATTACTAAAATAATAATAATAATAAATAAACAAAAAAAAAAAAAAGAAGAAACAACCCTCACCCACTTCTCTCCACTAACCTCTTGTCTCTTTCCTTAGTTATCTTTCCTCAGTTATCTTTTTCTTCAGTTATCTCTCCTCAACCCATCCCTTACTTAGAAAGTCACAGTTGGCCAAAATAGATTTACTTAGGAAAAAATGAGAATAACCTTTACCCAGTTGAGATTCACCTGTAGAGAGATTTGCGTGAAGATAGATATGGTAATTAAGGTATATAATAGATATGGTCATTAATGTTATATTAAATTCATTTTCTCTTATCCTATTTCTTTTTTTAGAAATCACCGTAAGTTAGATCTTCATTAAATCATTACAGTGGTTTAGCTTTGAGTTAGAAACTAAATGTTAATCCTGTCAAACAAAAGGAAACACGTAGATAAAGAAAGATTTTAAAAATAGGGATCCACTCGAAATTTGGAATACATGTAAACAAAATTAAAAGGCTATAGAGTAAATACATATAAAGAAAAGAAGAAGGAAGATTGAGTATTAAAAAACTTAAACTAAATATAGAAAGAAAAGTAAATACAGACCCAAAATAACTTGAAATAACTCTATCAATTATTTTATACAAAATCATAGAAAATAAGATTTTTAATAAAAATATAATTATTAGGTACCTAACATTTAATTTTAACAAGAAATAATTTTATTGGGTTCAAACTTAAAACTGATGTCATGGGCTCACATAGGTTGACTTAGATTTCAAGGGACAAAATCGAACTTTCATTAAGGATATATTCGTGACAACGACCTTAATATTGACATGGTTATATTTGATGTTGACACATGCTCGTGGTTCTGCACGTGTCATATATACTGATATGTGTGAATTATTTGTGAATTGATAGAAGTAAGATTTGTTCATGAAACGTGAAGGTTAGGTTACATCTTGAAGTACTATGGATATGAGAGGTTGATAAAAGAATATAGTTAGGTTATGGGTAGAAAGAGATAGGATCGACATGTGAATGATGGATGTATATATATTGTGATATGATATAAAGACGATATGAAATATGTTATGGTAAGATATGTGATAAATTGACATGTTTATGATATGAATATTATGATGCGATATGTTATGGCATGATACATATATGATGAAAATTATTATGCTTGGAAGCATGAAATTTTATGATTATGATTGACATGCAAAACGACGAACTAGCATGATAAATTCTAAAAGGAGTAATGCAAAACAACGAACTAGCATGAATAAATTCTAAAAGGAGTAACAAGACTTAATGTTCTATATAGTGAGCGTTCCACAAATTTCTCAGAGTATGAGTCTTGGATGAACAAAAATGTTTCCCGTTATTCCTTCCTTCCTTGCAAGAAAAGAAGCATGTTATTGCCTAGGTTTGAACTAGGGACCTTTAGTGTGTAAGACTAATGTGATAACCACTAAACCACAATAACAAGACGTCCATGATCAAAAACTGGTTAATAATTATAAATTTTAATGTTTAAACAAAATATCCTTAAAACCTCGAAAGGTTTAATCAATATTCTTCAAAAAAAAAAAAAAAAAAATCTTGAAATATATCTTTTACTTTTCAAATAAAAAAATAAAATAAAAAATAAGTTTATTGTTAGTGAGATGAAACTGTTAATATCTTGTTTGAAAATAAAATTCAACTTTCAAACGTTTCGTTAATGCTCATAATTTATGAACATTTCCCAATATGAATATAATACAATTTAATATTCAAATAGACAATTTATTTTCAATCTTATTCTTGAGTATTTTTAAAATGTGGCTAACAAATTCGTTCATATACATAAGAATACTTTTGAACTTTTTTAAAAAGATAATCAAGGGTATCATATGGTGGTGACCCAATGTAACCCCTAGTCATGTCTTTTTTGAAGAACCACCTTCGTCCTACCACGGTTTGACTCGTCTACTCCATTTCGAGTCAACAAAGATATCATAGGCTTTGCAGTATACCCAAAATAAAATGGCGAGACCAAGTTATCTTTTTATCCATTCATATTCTATATTTAAAATATTATGCATAAAATCATTCAACCACATGAGAAAGAACAATATTACTAGCGAACAAACTATGACATCATTGAGACTTGAACCGAAAGACCTTTGTATATTAGACTAAGGTGATAACCAACTCTACCACAAGACCAAATGATCTGCAAATTTATTCTATAATATAATATAATGTTATAAAATCCAGGCGTAAAAAGAATGATAAAATTAGAATTTTAAATCTTTTTTTTTAATTCTAGAATTAATTGAATAGTAATTACATATTTCAAGGCTTTCATTGTTATTTTGAGCAATAGGATGGGCTCTTTAATTGTAACAACGTACAAAAAATAATAATAATAACAATAATAAATAAATAATTCACCCATCTCTCCCTTCACCAATATCTTAGGACTCCTTCCTCAAATATCACTCTTCATCCCCTACTCAAGCTATCAGTTATGCGAGAGAGAGAATAAAAAAATAGATAAAAAAGATTGCACATACCAAGCTAGAGAATAAAAAAATAGCCCCTACTCCAACTATTAGTTATGCTAGAGAGAGAATAAAATGGCTTTGATACCATGTTAGATGATCACCACCAACTATCAGTTATGCTAGAGAGAGAATAAAATGGCTTTGATACCACGTTAGATGAACACGACCAACTATCAGTTATGCTAGAGAGAGAATAAAATGGCTCTGATACCATGTTAGATGAACATGACTCTCTACAATGGTATGATATTGTCCACTCTGAGCATAAGCTTTCCTTTGGGTTTTTCCAAAAGGCCTCATACGAATAGAGATAGTATTCTTTGATTATAAACCGATGATCATTCCCTAAATTAGTTGTGGGACTCTCATAGAACTAAAAACTAAAATGAAATAGAGAGAACAGAGACTATATAGAAGATTCAATGAATAGAAATAAAAACTAAAACTAAATAGGGAGAGAATAAAATAAAGACAAAGATTTGGTGAAAAAAACAATAGGATAAAACAATTAAAAATTAAAATTAAATATAAAAAAATGGAGATTTAGTGAAAAGAGCTCCCCATGAAACAAAAGAATTAAAAACTAAAATTAAATACGGGGAGAAAAGAAAATAACACCGGGAAAAAAGAAAATACAGACCAAGACCAATAGAAAAAAGAGGGAAGATTCATAGAATTTAAAACTAAATATAAAAAGAAAAATGTAACATAAAATAACTCTATGAACTAAAGGAATAATTTTGTAAAAGTTCGAATTTAAAACTGATATCATGGGCTCACATAAGTTGACTTTTATTCATGCAAATATTCTAATGTTCACATGAAATCTAACTTAATCCTTATAAATTAAAGGAATAATTTTGTAAAAGTTCGAATTTAAATTCGATGTATATGTTATGATACGTGAATAATATGATAACTCTTACATCATCATGTGTTCAATGATATGTGTGAGATAGGATACTATAGAGGGAGTCAAATCCACAACCATTTGATTCAAAGTCAGACGCGCTAATCCACTGTGCTATGTAGTCATTTTTGAAAGTTTATGCAAATACATTAATATAAATATATATTTTTATACTTTTATGTTTGAATTCCTACTTATCATACCGTGATGGAAAGTATGGGGACCTGATGCATAATTGATTCCTTTGAACCAACAAAAGGACGGGGGTTATACCATATGAAATCCTTTAACCAACTCGCACCCCTATCTGGATGCGGGTTGTTGGCCGGTTGTATAGCTACTATATCCACCGGTTGCGTGACCGCCGCGTTGGCTAGTTGCGTGGCCATTGCCGCGACTTGTTGCGTAGCTAACAACGTGGCCTATTGTGTGGCTAGCATGGTTTGAATTGTCGTTTGGAGGGATTCCAACATTAACCTCGTGGCGGGGTCTAACCCGGCCTGTGGTGGAGCTTGATGGGGTGGTGCATATTCAGGAGGGGGTATAGCTTGTGGGGGAGGTACATATTTAGGAGGTGGTACAGTTTGTGGGGGAGGTGCGTTTTCGGGTGGTGGGACAGTTTGTGGGGGAGGTGCGTATTCAAGAGGTGATACAAACGCATAAGGTCCGATAGTCGACCTCTCTTGGGAAGAGCTTCTATCAGCTTCTCCTCTTCCCCATCTCCTAATGGGAGGTCGTCCTCTCCCTCTCCTACCTCTTCTACGTCCTCTGTGTGGCATGATTCTAGAAACCAAGAAAAGGATTCTAGCTAAGTTTATGATTTATTTATAACATTCCCTACATCCTATCTTATAATTCATATTGAAGAAAACATAAATATCATACATAAAGACATGCATTACATCAGATCACATCACAACACATTTTCATACAATATCATGTCAGGCATCATTTAAAGCCAACCACATTAAATATACCACAAGGATCATACATCCCTCATTCTACATAAGGTATACCTGGCGACGATGGGGCATCGGTAATTGGACCGTGGAACATGCCAAGCCTACTCTGTAGGCTAGTCTACAAGATCTATAACCTAAGGCTCTGATACCAACTGTAACGACCCTATAATTTTTACTTATTTAATCTAAGGTCATTACTATACCTTGGAATGCCGAATATACATTAAATGGGCCCCGTTCATAAATGCGACTTACACTCGCCTTTTATTACCTCGTGAAAGGGAAAATGATTACAAGGGAAAAAGAAACGAACATTATTGAAATAAAGGAAAAGGAACCAAAACCGAAATGGATGTTTTAATTCTATCCTATGGTTTATTATGCAAATACAACTCAACCTATACTAACCTATACTAGTGATGCAAACCGAATTCAACCTAGACTATGAAATGAAAAAAACAACTACCCTATGCATGTGCCACGGTCCAGAGGTGTACGATGTCGCCGTCGTTGTCACATGGGTGCCTTGCCCTTATCTGCAAAAGTACAGTAGCACGAGGCTTGAGTATTTCTAGAATACTCAGTAAGTGACCCCCTATCGGGGTTATGCAACAATCACATGCAATGAAATGATGGGACCTACGTTTCATTTTCCCTACAGTGCAGTCCTAACGGGTAATCGTGGACATGCACCATATACTCTATACACAGCCCATACGTGCGAGTATGGGCTCACCAGCTAGTTCGCACACCGCTGGGCCACTTTCCTTATCCGGTGGGCAGACTCTGGGAGCCCCTTATGTCGGTACCCGTTAAAACTAGAACCATCATGGCAGCGCTATGCAAAGCATAACGATCATTGTCCTGCCATTAGATGTACGCGTCCGTACCCTCGTGATGGGATAGGGGTATCCCCCAGATGCATGAACACACATAATGCATGAGGTCCCCCCTACTTCTACATTTATCATTAATGATCATAACCCCCTGTCACGTTCTATGCTTCATGTCATTCTCATTTTCAGTTCACATTTCGTACATATTCCTATCGGGGTTATGATTCCAGACAGTTTACCGTGTTTCATGTCATACAATTCATGCTGTTTACATTCACATATTCCATACAATCATGCCCTAATCATTCAAGGACCACATATCGTCACATGCATAACATATCACATCAACCTAAGCAGCATACATAGCATACATTCACGTTCACATGATTTCGTACTTAAACACATTAAACTAGCATACAATTTAATGACACGTGCAAATCCACGGGCACGTGCCAACATACAACAAATAATGCGTAACCTACGACGGGTGAGACACTTACTTGGTAGGCTTTAGCCGAAGTACTCCCTAGTATATAACGTAAGCTCCTAGCTCCTCGTGAACGTTCTACTCTTCCGTTGGTGGTTGGTTCCTATTGGTTCATTCGTCCCTTTCATTAGTATTTCACAAACATAATTAATTTCCAACTTTAATTTGTGAAATACGACCTTAAAATGATCTATTTTACCTTAAATAGGACCGAAACTAAGTCTATGAGGGTCGTAACGCTGACGAACGGGTTGGAAATAGGTTTCCTGAGCCGAGTAAGCCACCGGAGCCAAGAAGCCACCGCCGAGCCGAATAAGCTGCTGGAGCCGAGGGGAGCCGCGTTGCAGACGTGCCACGTGGCACAATCAGAGGGCGACGCGTGTGTAGGGGTCTTGGGTCAAGGCGAAGGTTATCGGATCGCTCGCGGGTTTTGGGCCGTTCGCAGGTGATGGGTCATTCGCGAGTGACAGGCCAACCCGGCTGAAGGAAAAATACAGGTGGGTTGGGCTGCGCGTTGGGCTGGGCTTGTGGGTTTTGGGGTGAAGTGGCAGGCTCGGGGATCGTCGGGTACTGGGCTAACCTAAGGGGAATGGGTTCAGTTTGGGTTGCGGGATCCAGCCCTCGGGTCGGACTTCGTCCTCTTCGCCCGGTTGCCTACGCGTTTTTCCAGCGACCTTTCTCTCTCCTTGTTAACGTCGTTTCGACGTCCTTTTTCCCTTCTTTCTCCATTCCCGAGTCT